AAGAGCGGGAGGAGGAGCGGGAGGGGGAGCTCGGGGATTAACGGCTCCGCGTGGCGGCAAATCGGGGCCGCCCGGGGGGGGCGAGCGGGGTTTGCCCCCCCCAAAACCGGGATGGGGTGGCAGCCGCGGGGACAAAACCACGGGCGGCTGCTGTGTCCCCTCGTGCCTCAGTTTCTCCCCCTGAGCCCCCCGAAACGCGGGTGTGGAGGGGGGACACCCCCGCGCCCCCCCGAGTCACCAAAGCGCCTCAGGAACAGGCGGGAGATGGGAAACTGAGGCACGGGAGGGGAAGGAGCAGGAGGAAAACATTCCCGAGGGAGGGACGGCGGCGGGAAAGGCCGGGATGAGCGGGGGGATCCGCTTGGGATCCCTTCCCTGAGCACATTCCGCGTTTTCCTCTCGTTTAGATCCCAAAATCCGGAAAACGGCGGGGGACGGAGCCGGGCGAGAGACGGGAAACTGAGGCACGGCAGAGCATCCATCAGCCCGTCCCGTTATCCCGTTGTTGTTATCCCGTTGTTGTTATCCCGTTGTTGTTATCCCGTTGTTGTTGTTATCCCGTTATCCCGCCGCGCCCGCAGAGCCGATCCCGCCCCCCGCTCCCGTTTTTCCCTACCTTTGTCTTCCCGGTCATCCTGCGGATGAAGCTGAGGGTCCTGTCCAGGGGGGTCCCTTCCCGGCCCGGGGGGGTCCCCGCCTCCCCCGCCAGCCGCTCGCGGCTCCCGGCGCTGCAGGAGGAGGATCCCGCTGGACAATCCCGCCGGACAATCCCGCTCTGTCCCCGCCGGGAACGGGGAGGAGCGTGCGTGTCCCCTCCCCGCTCCCAGCCCGGCCACCCCGCAGCCCCCCCTGTCCCCCCTAGCCCCCTCCCCCTGTCCCCGCCCCCCGATTTGGGGAGCGGGGAGGGGGCCCCGGGTTTGGGGGGGTCCTGGTTCCTTGGGGACATCCTCGGAGGGGGACAAAAGCCACCCTTGGAAGGGAACAAATCCCCTTTGGAGGGGTCAAATTCCCCCTGAAGGGGACAAATCCCCGTTGGAAGGGACGACAAAGGCACCCCTGGAGATAAAATCACCCTCGAGGGGAGACAAGATGCCCTCGGGCGGGGGCAAATCCCCTTCAGAGGGGGACGAGCCACCTTTGAAGGGGGAAAAGCCCCGTCCTTTGCAGGGCGGTGATTCGGGCCAGCGTGTCCCCACCCCTGTCCCTGTCCCCATCCCTGTCCCCGTCCCCATCCCTGTCCCCATCCCTGTCCCCATCCTTGTCCTCATCTCTGTCCTCACCTCTGTCCCATCCCTGTCCCCATCCCTGTCCCTGTCCCCATCCCTGTCCCCATCCCTGTCCTCATCTCTGTCCCATCCCTGTCCCATCTCTGTCCCATCCCTGTCCCCATCCCGGTCCCCCGGGGCTCCGGGCCAGCTCCCGGTGCCGGTTCCCGGGAACATTCCCCTAATGAGGACGGGAATGGGCTGTGACAGGAGCGGGGAGGGGACAGCGCGGGGCCAGGAGGGGACACGGATGGGACCCGGAGGGGACACGGAGGGGCCACGGAGGGGACTCACCCGCTGACCAGGCTCTGCTGGGAGGCGAACGGGGGAATTTCGGCAGCTGGAAAAGGGAAAAGGAATTCAAAAAGGGCCGCGAGGAGCAGCCGGGGGCGGCGGGGGCGGTAATTAACTGCGCCATCGATTTCGGGTCGTTACCGGGGGAGGTCGGAGCAGGGACAGCGCCGGGGGGACACGAGGGTCCGGGAGGTGACACGAGGGTCCGGGGGGGGGACAGGAGGGTCCCGGGGGGTGGGACAGACTCACCCTCCTCGCCGGGGACACTGGCGATGACACCGAGCGATGCGGATTTGGAGCGGGACCAGCCCCGGGAGCGGGGCCAGGCCAGGGGCGCCGGGAGCCTCCGCGCGTCCTCCTGGCAGCGGGGACAGGGACAGTGGCACTGCCACCCTCACCGGCCCCGCCAGGGTCCCTTCCTGTCCCCAAACCGGAGCGGCTCCCAGCGGGGAGGGCCGGGAAGGAGCGTCCTGGTCCCAAAGAGACCCCGGACAGCAGCGGAGCCGCTCGTGGTGGTGGCAGAGCCACCCAGGATGATGGCAAAGGCAGAAGGACAATGACAAAGCCACCAGGACTGGGGCAAAGCCACTCAGGACAATGGCAAAGTCACTCTGGGCGATGGCAAAGCCACCCCAAGTGATGACAGGGTCACCCAAAATGATGGCAAAGCCACCAGGACGATGACAAAGCCACCTGGGGTGATGACAAAGCCACTCAGGACGATGACAAAGCCACCCAGGATGCGACTTTATGACAGTGATCCCCTCTCCGGGGTCCCCTATGGCCCCCCCAGCTCTGGGTGACCCCCGGGGTGACAGGAGGGTCCCACCTGTGCCCGCCTCACATCGGCCTCGTCCTCCTCGTCCTGCGAGAGCAGCGAGTCCAGCTCGTCGCTGCTGTGCACCAGGGGGGCTCTCCGGGGGTCCCGGCGGTGCCGCCAGAGCCCCCCCAGCTGCTCCGCGCTGGAGCCGAGCTCGGGGCTCCCGCTGGGGGGACACCGGGACCCTCAGCGCGGGGGACACCCCCAAACCAGGGCAGGTCCCCGAGTGGGTGAGCAGGGATTTGGGGGGTCCCCACCGGGGCAGGGATGCTCGGGGACCCCAGCGCCGGGGTGTGGAGGGATCGGGGGCACGAGAAGGTCCCCGAGCCCTGGATTTGGGGGTCGCGGTTGGGGGGGGGTGACACGGGGGTCCCTCCTACCTGAGCTGGTCGTAGCCCGGGATGCCGCGCGGGTCCTTCCCCGGCTCCCAGCTGTGCCGGCGGAAAGGGTCCAGGGAGCCCCGGAGCGTCCCGGATCTCCGCAGGGACACCCCGGGGCCCCGGTCTTCCTCCTCCTCCTCCTCCTCCTCATCCCAGGCCGTGCCGGGCTCCAGGACGGACACGCAGCGGCGCCTCGGGGGAGGGACCCCCGCGGGGACCCCCCCGCAGGGCCCGGGGGCGATGTGGGGGGGCTCCAGGCTCTCGGGGGGCTCCAGGTTTTCGGGGGGGGGTCCCGGTACCGCTCAGGGCCGGACGCTGCGGGGAGGGGGCGTGGAGGGGTCGGGGGGGGCCCAGCCCAGCCGAGAGATGAATTTGGGGGGGGGTCTCAGCCGAGCCCTGCCCCCCCCAGCCCTCCCGCCCGGAGCAGGGGGGACATTCCCGTTTTCCCGTTGCCGCCGTGGCCCCGCAGAGCCGGAGGGTCCCCGGGGGGAGCGGGACCCTCAAACCCCCCCCAGGCCGAGCTCTCCTGGTTAATCATTAAACCCCCAGGAATTCGGCCGGGATGAGAGCGGCTGGGAAGGGGGATGGGAATGGGGATGGGAACGGGAGCGGGAATGGGAATGGGGATGGGGATGGGGATGGGGATGGGGATGGGGATGGGGATGGGGATGGGGATGAAAATGGGAATCCCCGCCCCAGGATGCGGCTCATCCGACCCCCCAAATTCCCACTGCCTGAGGAGAGGGGAAACCCCTCGGGAGAGGGGCTCAGGGGGCAGCTGGGAAGGGAGCTGGATTTGGGATGGGGCCGGGAGAGGCTGTGGGAACAGGGCGAGGTTTGGGATGGGATCTGGGCAGGTTTTGGGATGGGATCTGAGCGGGTTTTGGGGTAAGATCTGACGGGATGTTGGGGTGGGATCTGAGGGGATTTTGGGGTGGGATCTGGGCAGGTTTTGGGGTAAGATCTGACGGGATGTTGGGGTGGGATCTCAGTTGGGATCTGGGGGATTTCAGCCACAAGAGACTGGGAAACCCCTGGGAACCCAAACACCCCTCCCAAAATCCCGACATCCTCAGAGAACCTCAACATCCCCCAGAACCCCCCGAGCATCCTGACCCGGCTGCTCCTGCTGGGAACACCTGCCCCCCTCCCCGCCTTGATCCAGGTGGATCCGGGGCTGCTCCGGGTGGATCTCCCCGATTCCCAATCCCACAGTTCCCAGATCCCGACACCATTCCCGGGCTGGCACATCCCGGCCCGGCCCTGGCCAGACTCACCCCGCTGGGGACAGGGAGGGGACTGGGATGAGCTGGGATGAGCTGGGATGAGCTCAGCCGTTTTCCTGTTTTTACATTCCCAGCCCGGTCAGCTGATTAAAAAAAAAACCGCTTTCCTTTGTGGATCTGCCCTTGGATCTGCCGGGGATCGGCCACAAACGTGGAATAATGAATATGGAATCCTAAAGGAATGAGGAGCGGAGCTCCAGGGCAGCTCCCAAGGGAAAACCGCGGCTCTTCCCAAGAACCCGCCGGGCTCCCGCTCCTTCCGGGGCTCCCGGGCTCGTCCAGGTGCGGGAAAGGAACCGGGATGTGCGGGAGCTCCCCAGAACCCGCCGGGAATCTCAGGATGCGGATCCAAGCTCCGGAGCAGGGAAAGGGACGGGATCCTGCAGCCGCTCCCCCCAAAACCCCGACCCCGGGGGCAGCCTCCAAATGTTGGTGGGGTTGGATCCCGGCCGGGATGCGGGAACAGCGGGATAACGGCGCAGCCCCGCAGGACGGGAATTTCGGGAGCTGGGAACGGCCAAACTCATCCCTGGCGTGGGTCGGGACCAGCAGGGAACAATCCCAGCATCCCGGGGGTTTGGGGAATGGCCCGGAGTGTCCGGGACACCGGGGAAGGGGCTGGGTGGTGGCCCTGATGTGGCCACGGAGGTGACAGTGGGGCCGGGGAGCCAGGGGGGCTCGGGGGGGCCCAGGGGGGCTCAGGGGG